AAGACTTCTGCTTGTGCCCATTTATTTCCACTTTCTCCCCACGACTCCTCACTTTGAATTGTGCTTGGAAACACACTGGCTCCAGTGGAGCTGTTTTAGGAAAGGGTTGTATGTTCCCCACATCCAACTCCAGTTAACACACTTGCTGCAGTTCTTGGGACCAGCTGGTTTCTGAATATTCCTCAAGGGCAGCCCCATGTAGAGTGTATTAGAATATTCCAGCTAAGAAGTAGCTAAAGCATGCGTCACATGGCGAGATCAGACTTTTCAAGGAATGAGTGCAGCTGGTGCACTAGTTGTGCAAAGGAACACTGCTGAAACCTGAATATCCTGGTTCAGGAGTAGGCAACCTTTCCCCTTTAAGGGCCGAGGGACTTCAGCTCCCAGAATCCCAGGAGCTATTGGCCAACATGGGATTATTGCCCAACATGACTGAGGCTTCTGGGAACTGAAGTCCTCGGCCCTTAAAGGGGAAAGGTTGCCTACCCCTGTCCTGGTTCAAGGCTGAATCTATATAGATCTGTGTGTCTTCAAGGGGAGTGTAGCTCCCCATCCTGCCAAGGTTGAATCCTTTTTCCTGATCTGCGTTTTGACTGACCCGGAGTATCTCTGTGTTTGTCTTCCTGCACCCTGTCCCAAATGTACATTTACATCACAGCATGCTGGTTTAGTGGTTTGAGTATTGGATTATGATTCTGGAGACTAGGGTTTGATTCCCAGCTCTGCCATGAAACCCAACCAGGTGACTTTGGGCCAGTCACATGCTCTCAGCTTCAAGGGAAGGCAATGGCAAACCTCTTCTGAATAAACCAGGGGTAGGCAACCTTCCCCCTTTAAGGGCCGAGGGACTTCAGCTCCCAGAATCCCAGGAGCTATTGGCCAACATGGGACTATTGGTCAACATGGCTGAGGCTTCTGGGAGTTTAAGTCCCTCGGCCCTTAAAGGGGAAAGGTATCCTATCCCTTCCTCAGGGTGTCCATAAATCAGAAATAACTTGAAGGCACGCAACAACAGCAACATGCTGATTTAACTTCTGTTCCTCTGCCTACTTGGGAAAGATGCCTGTGCCTTTTCTTTGCAGTTTTAAGTCGTTGCAATGCTAGAAATTTCAGGACTGAATGAAAATCTCATTGGGAGTGAAGAATTTTTATTTGGGGGACACAGGGTAGGCAACCTTTTCCCTTTAAGGGCTGAGGGACTTCAGCTCCCAGAATCTAGGAGCTATTGGCCAACATGGCTGAGGCTTCTGGGAGCTGAAGTCCCTCAGCCCTTAAAGGGGAAAGGTTGCCTATCCCTGGGGGGACATGTTCTCCTTTTGCCCTCACACAGCTACACAACTGTACTCTAGTGTGATCTGGAGCCAGGGTGGTGGTGTTGATCTCCTAGTATTCGAAGTAGGAAGACACCAGTTTGCATTGAGAGAAAGTGGGTGGGTCTCCCTGGGTTGCCCAGCCAGCAGTCTACTGCAGAAAGTGCTCAAGGGCCAGCTATGGCATAAGTGGTTCATATATGACACCTGTTGCGTGAAAATATGGGTATATTTAATAATTTTCAATGCATTGTTCTAAGGGAGATCAGAAATATTTCCTGGAGCACAAGAGATGCACAAGAACCATTCTGCTGTAGATGGAGGCGAAATTGAAATACTTATGAGTCCAAGAAGTGAACTCAAGGAGAGATGCAACTGCAATGGACACTGTGAAGTGCACAGTAAGCTAGTTTTATTTCTGCTGAATAAAAACTACACAGGTTCAGAAGTTGGCCTTTCATTAAAGAGTAGACAAAATCCCATGCAGATGTAGGGGGAAACATGCAAGTGTATGGGAATGTAATTCTAAGAATTTGGTCCTTGTTCACCTTGCCTTAAACACAAGAGTTGATGATAAGTGTGTGTTGTGACAGTGAAAAATTGGATTGTGAAGCTGAGTCTTGTCCATTATTTCTTTAGGCATGAAGGAAAGGGAGCGACATGTTTAAGTGGTGGAAAGTAAGAAGCAAGAGAGTGAGGAATGGCATAAGTGTGAGGTGAGACAAGGGAGAGGAAATAAACTTTGGGAGGAAAGAGATGCAGTGGCAGGATTCAAGGAAGAAAAAGGGTAGGCAGAAGGTAAAGGAAGGTGCAAGAAAGGCAGAAGTGATGGCTTAAGTATAGGGAAGGGGTGAGTGATGGCAGCATACAAGGAGCAAAGTCAGGGAGTGTGGTGAATCTGCAAAGTGGGGCAAGGACGGGAGAGAAGTGTAGTTTCACAGTAGGAAAAGGAGATGATGTAAAGGAGTGGGTGAGGCATGAGAGAGGAAAGGAGTGAAGGGAGAGGATGCAAGGTGCATGAAGAGGATGCAAGCAGCAAGAGAAGTAGCTATTAGGTAAGGCAAAGTACAAGGGAAGGAGGTGTGGTTTGTAAGTTTTCCTTACTGTTGTCATTTCCCCTGTGAATCAGGAACTTTCTATTATATTTTTCAGGATCAGTATATTTCTTCCATCAATAAAAAAAATACTGATGGTAAAAACTCTAATAGTGAAATCAAGAGACCATAGTGGAGTTAGTAATATCAGTGGATGAGAAAAATTACTTATTTGTGGTCAGAGAAGTTTAACAGCAGTAGCAGCAAGCGTGTACTCCACAGGTATTTGGCAAAAGGGTAGATCTGAGCTTTTGGTAAATAAACAGGATACAGAAGTAGGTAAAAAGAAACAAAAAGAAGCATATTTTATTGTTTCATCTAGTTCTACAAAAATAACTAATCAGTTGAGAAAACTATACTTTGCTACAAGGTTCCCTAGAGCTGAGACTCATGCGTGCAAGTAAGAAGAAAAACATCTTAGAAACACAGCTTGGTTTGTGCATCCATGGCAGCTGAAGAACAGAGAGAAAAGAGAGCAAAGACCCATAAAAATTTATTATCCTCCAGGAAGAGGAGGGGGAGGAAGTGACCACAGTCACACTGACCAAATGGCCATAGAGATAAATCAGTGTTCCTGTGTAGAGTACAATCACTCCTTCTCAAGGAAACATAGAGCTACGTACATACAAGTATTGATGTTTACTCCAACAAAAATGTTGTTGTTAATCACATCAGGAATGTACATGGCCACTTTGAATATTTATCGTCATGCTATTAATTCCTATGCAAACAAATAAGATTTGTTGAAAGGCAGTGATGGTTCAAAGTCACATGGTAAATTCCATTACCAAGCAGGGATTTGAATTTGGTTCTCTGTGTTTGAAATCCAAGACTTAAGCATTACTGTTAAAAGATTAGTAATTGTAAAAATAGTACCAAGGCTGAAACATAGGAGTAGGAAAAAAGGTCAACTGTTACCATGTTGAATTTGCATAATTACAAAGCATATTAATGACATGCACAATTATAATGATTTTCATAATAAACAGGAGCAGGGTTTTTCTTTTGTAAAATTAATGTGTCTTAATCATCTATTTGAAACCGTGCTGTCTTAAAATAATTTACGTCATACAGCGGTAGATCATGACAACATATTGCTAGGAAAACCCATGTTGGTTTGGTTACTGTGAGGAATGTAGATAACCTCAGGGGATCATTGCCTGGATGGGATGAGATGAGACAGACAATCTCCATTGTCTCTACTATTCAAAAAGTAGAGTGCTTTGACCCTGGGGAGGTTTTTCTCCACTACATCATTGCTTTGGCCATGAACTGCCTTAGGTCCCTTCTGGGAGAAAGATAGTAATGAAATCAATAAATAAAATTTGCTTCAACAAACAAGGAAAAAAGCAAACATTTTTGTCTATCACAATTACTGGTTAAAAGTGCATCTATGTTTTAATGCTATCTTTTTTTCCCTTTCCCTTTCTTTTCCCCCATCCCCCAGAGGATGGAGATGCAGGAAATCTGAAAAAGAAATATGTTTTTGCTGCTACAATCTTGGTTTCATTGCTTATCATCTCATTGGCTATCAATATTTACCTTGGTAAGTTTTTAATTTCCTTCTTATTGACATATTGCTGCAGTGCAGAGTATTTATTTTTGTTTCTTTACTGCAATCCATCTGTCTGAAGTGCTTTCTTCACAAAACCTGATCTTATTAGTTAATAGGTCTGTGGCTCATCCTTTCCTTGCAGTACTTGCTGCAGAGGTAGGAAAAAGTGGCTCCAAAGCTATTTTATGGCCCATAGGGTCCCCACACTCAGCCACTTCCCAAAGTTTTTTGGGGAAATTTTATTGTCTTCAAATGGAAATTTACCCTTCCCTTAGTCTTTGTGGGATGCCATTAGACTCTGCCATGTCTGTGGATATTTTAACCCTTCTTTACCTTAATTTTTTTTTAGGCCTACAGCTCTTCTTCAAGCAGGGAGCCTTTTCACACTGCACAGTTATAGCTCTGATTCCACTTTGACTGCCATGGCAACCTTCTATGGAATCCTGGGATTTGCAGTTGGGGGGGCATTTAGAATTTCCAGCCAGAGAGTTCTAGTGCCTCTACCAATGGCAAACCCTTGGATTCCAGAGGATGTGGCCGTGGCAGTTAAAATGGAATCACAGCAGTATAATTGTGGAGGGTGAAAGGGCCCCTGGAAATGTTTAGATGTCTTGTTCATGTCACTACATATTTTGAAGGAAGGCACCTTATGGTGAACCCATTAATTGTATAGGGTTTTCTTAGGCAAGGAATACTTGGAGATGGGCCGTGTTTGTGCATGTGCCTTCAAATCACCTATTGACATATCATGATCTCATGAGTTTCAGAGGGTTTTCTTAGGCAAGGAATACTCAAAGATGGCTTTGCCATTTGTTGGAATATTGGCATTAATGCTTGTGTGTAGTTCTATGTTTTCCTTGAGAAGGGGGTGCTCTATACAGGAACACTGATGTATATCTCTATGATCATTTGGTAAGTGTTGCTTGTGAAGAGGTCACTTCTCATACCCCTCCACTTTCTGGGTTTTCTTCCTGGGGTAATAAAGTGTTATGATTCTTTGTCTGTTGGCAGATTTTCCTGCCTACTCTAACCAAGCATGAACGCAGAAGCCAGTCTTTGCTACTAAAGATGTTTTCTTCTTACTTGCACACTTAGAGGTCAGCTATCCAGCAATCTCTGTACCAAAGTATAGTTTTCTTCTTGTTGTTTGTTGTCAACTGCCTTTGAGTCAATCTTGACTCATGGCAACCCTATGGTTGAGAAATCTCCAAAACCCTCTGTCCTCCACTGCTCTGCTTAATTCCTGCAACCCTTTCATATCTGTGACCTCCTTAATAGAGTCCATCCATCTGGCATGTATGTGGCCTTCCTCTCTTCCCACTTCCCTCCACCTTTCCCAGCATTATTGTCTTTTCCTATGAGTTTTTCCTTCTCATGATGTGTCCGAAGTACGACAGCCTCAGTTTGGTCAT